TTATAAAACGATCTCTCGAGTTTTATAAAACGATCTCTCGAGTTTTATAAAACGATCTCTCGAGTTTTATAAAACGATCTCTCGAGTTCTATAAAACGATCTTCGAGTTTTATAAAACGATCTTCGAGTTTTTATAAAACGATCTCTCGAGTTTTATAAAATGATTCTCGAGATTCATAAAACTGTTGCGTTTACGCGTTTGCGGGGAATTTTGGCTATTGATTCCGTCGTACCGATTTTGACCCCAACAAAATTTATATTTAACCTTTAAAAACACACAAAAGAATGATCAATTTAACCCAATAATAGACGAGCCAAAATATACAAATTTAAATCCTAATCAAAACAAAATAAAATTATACAGCATGCTGATTTAATACGTTTTTTGGAAGACTAAACCACTTGACAAAACTAAAAAAGGAAGAGAAAAGTTATTTATATACAACAATAGTAACATTTATTGATATCCTGCCAGTAAATTCTCTTGGCAAAATAGTAAAAGAAAAAAAAAAAAAACAAATAAAATAAGTTCTTGAAATTAACAAGTTTTTTTGTTTGCGTCGGTGCCGACGATGGTCGGTGTAGATGAATCTATCGCACCGTGTTCCCTCCTCCAGGCTCAACTCCACCACGAACCTCCACAGCATTAACTCTTCCTCCTCCGTCTCCGCCGTATCTTCCGTCATCATGCCGCCGCCGTGCTCCCGCCCTGTTCGCCGAGCAGCTATATTCCTCGTCGCCATTTCCATCTCCATCTTCTTCCTCTACAGATCCGCTGATTCCCTCTCCTCCTCCTCCTCCTTCTTCTCTCGCATCTTCCCTTCCTACGATTCCTTCCAGTCTCTGGTTAGCTTCTTCTTCTCCCCTTTTTACATTTCTTGATTTGAGTAGAGTACGTTTCTTGATTTTAGCCTTTCAAGAAACAAGAAAGGTTCTTGAAATGGCTCCAAATTTAGAAACTAAGCTTCAAGGTATCTTGATTTAGCCTTTCATTGGCTCAAGAAACATAGAAACGTCTCCAAATTTAGAAACTAAGCTTGAAGGTATCTTGACATAGGGTTTGATTGGTTCAAGAAACATAGAAACGGCTCCAAATTTAGAAACTAAGCTTCAAGGTATCTTGATTTAGCCTTTCATTGGCTCAAGAAACATAGAAACGCCTCCAAAATTTAGAAACTAAGCTTCAAGGCATCTTGATATAGCGTTTCATTGGCTCAAGAAACATAGAAACGGCTCCAAATTTAGAAACTAAGCTTTGATTTTTTTGACACCAGGAGCTTGAAGAGCCTAAGCTTGAAGATGTTCTACGTAGAGCCGCAACTCGTGACAACACAGTGATTCTAACCACTCTGAACGAAGCTTGGGCTGCTCAAGGCTCTGTAATCGATCTCTTCTTCGAGAGTTTTCGAATCGGTGAAGGAACGAGCAAGCTCTTAAACCATCTAGTGATCATTGCTCTTGATGCTAAAGCTTACTCCCGTTGCCGAGAGATTCATAAACACTGCTTCAGTCTTGAAACTGAAGGTGTGGATTTCTCGGGAAAAGAGGCTTACTTCATGACTCGTTCTTACTTGAAGATGATGTGGAGAAGAATCGACTTCTTGCGTTCTGTTCTTGAATTGGGTTATAACTTCGTCTTCACGGTACTAATAAAAAAAAAACATTTTCTTGAATGTGTTTCTTGAAAATGATATCGTTTTGTGTTTTTTTTCTCCAGGATGCTGATGTGATGTGGTTCAGAAACCCATTTACGCGGTTTTTCAAATACGCAGACTTCCAGATTGCGTGTGACCATTACTTAGGAAGGTCTAATGATTTGGAGAATAGACCTAACGGAGGGTTTAGCTTTGTGAGGTCTAATAACAGAACTATACTCTTCTACAAGTATTGGTACGCTTCACGGATTAGATACTCCGGGTATCATGACCAGGACGTTCTTAACTTCATCAAGAGGGAGCCTTTTGTTTTCAGGATTGGGATTAGGATTAGGTTCTTGAACACTGCTTATTTTGGTGGACTCTGTGAGCCAAGTAAAGATATGAATCTTGTTCGTACCATGCATGCTAATTGCTGCTTTGGTATGGATAGTAAGCTTCATGATCTTAGGATTATGCTTCAGGACTGGAGAGATTTTATGGCTTTACCGCTTTATCTTAAACATGAGTCTGGTTTCTCTTGGAAAGTCCCACAGAATTGCAGGTTTTGAGTTTGAATCCTTCTGTTTTTTGAAGATCTTTACTAGTGTGATTGTGTAAGGGAATCATTGATTCGTTTTTGTTTGTTTGTTTGTTTGTTGCAGTCTTGATTCACTTAGGAGATATGATGAGTCTATGTATGAAGAAGAGAGTGAGCCACCAGGAGAATCCCAAGAGTGAAAAAAGTGTGTATGTGTTTTACAAATTGTATATAGAGAAACTCTTCTGAGATTTGTTTTTTGTTACATGACGAAGAAGAAAAATATGTAAGTCGAAGTTTTGTATAAATCATTGATCATTCTCAAAGAGAAACACACAAGTACATAGGACAAGTGTCTTGCTCGTTGTCCCAAAGAGCCCTCTTTCTCTAGTCACGGATTTACACAAAATTTTTTTAAAAAAAAACACACATGAAGAAGAGTCCTTGTTCATTAGTATTTGGAATTTCTAACTAATCTTTTCTAGCCACATTCGATATTCAAGTTGTAATCTCAACATGCAAGAACTATGAACACTAACGTGGTACTAAGAAAAACTCTCAAACCGAAGGGGGATACTACACGAACATAGCTTGACTTGAACAAAAATCAAAGTACATGAGATATATATTGATTCGGGTTTGACAGATTGGCGAATTGAATTTTGTAGTTCTTTCTGAATTAATGTAATGTTTAGTGCCTTTTCACTATTATGTTTCATATTAAAAAGATAGGCAATCTTTTCAACGTCAGATACAAGATTCCCTCCATTTTTTGTAATAATAACCCATATAATATCGAGGTATGAGTTTTTTAATTACTTCTAATAAAAAACGGATGGAGTAATATGTGCAATATGTGCTCAAGTTGTTGTTGATATATAGATTCTGACCTTGAAAGATAAGTCATTGAAGAAAAGAAAAAAAAAACAAAAAGTGAAACATTTAGCTCAAACTAAGTTTAAAGTGAAGAACAAAGTTTAGCAATAAAAGTCAAAATTTGTAACGTTCGTGACAGTATTGTTTGTATTCAAGATACCATCTTTGAAGGTTTATAGGCTCTTCGTGACTTACACGCGGTCATACACTTTCTTAAATACAAATGAAAGATTTATAGGCTCTCCATGACTTACACACGGCACAATTTTTTCTTAATAATTTATTAAATGTACTTATTACAAGGATATTAAAGAACTTATAGCTTTCACTAACTTACATGTGGAACATATGTTTAGATAGATAAGAAATTTATAAGCTCTCATGCCTTACACGCGGCATGATAATACTTTTGTTACTCTGTAGTTTATAACCGTTGTTACTTGTTAGTGATAATCGCATAAACTTCCAAAAATATAATTGGACACATATGCCCAAATATTAATTAGTCTGTTTTTAAGAAACCTATAATACTCCTTCCGTTTTATATTAAGTGTCATTGTAGAAAATTTTTTGTGTTACAAAATAAGTGTCGTTGTCGGTTTTCAATGTAAAATTTATTAATTTTATTATATAATTTGTTTTTCTATTGGTTAAAATATGGTTAGGTGTATGGGTAATTGTGTTTTTATATAGGAAATATGTAAAATTAATTGTTTCCTTAATCCGTGTGTATAGCTGTAGAGTGACACTTATATTAAAACAGAGGGAGTATAAAATTACATAACTTTAATTTCAATTATGTTACCACCCCCAATATTTTTTTCGTTAGATTGGACCCGAGTTAATCATTTAACTTCATATGTTTCAAAAAAATGTATGTGGTAACAAAATTAACTTTCATAGATATTGAGATAAATTATGATTTCAAATAATCTTATTTCAACAGTATAATATTCCCATAGACAACCATTGGTGTAAGTTTCTTATGCAATTGGAACCAGAGCAATTGGGCTATTTAGATTTAAAACTATCAGTTTGGGTTTATAGCAAAACATTTGACATCCAGCGTTAATGTCATATATTATCATCTACTTTCAATTGACCTGCAGGTTGTTACTATATATTGGCTATTTTCTTCCAAAAGTCGGTACATTGTAAGAAGTCTGACATCTAAATTCATATTTCAGCGTTGTATATTTGTATATATTTCTTTTTTGGTCGAATAGCGGCTTAGAGATGAAAGGATGATTTTGTTGGTTTAGAAAGTTGAGTTTTAAAATTTAAAATATAGTAATTGATTGAATCAAAATTGTAAAAAATGGTCATTTCTTATTTTCTAATTTCCTCACAAGTGAGTCTAATGGAATTTTTTTAAGAATTATTGTTGGTTTCTTAAAGTAACTTTAATATCAATGGTAGAAAAACTGAAAACTTTGAAAGTGATTAATTAAAGTAATTAATGATTAGCAAAACTGTATTGACTCTTCTTAAATGTGCTCTTATCCATTTAAAATATTTTCTTTAATATTTTCTCTATTTCATAATAAGTGTAATTTTACCTTTTTTTGTTTCAAAAAAAATATGCACTTTGTATTTTCAATACATTTTTTCACATATAATCTCATTCTTACTTTTTAACTAACCAATAATTTTTTTTAAAACTTATTTTCATTTATATAAGTATACATTAAATGAAGATATAGTAGTATATTTTCTATTTTTTAATATGTGTGCTATCAAAGTGACATTTATATTGAAACTAGTGGTGTGTCCGCGCTACGCGCGGCTTGTTGATATTTGTGTGTTACATATTTATTATGTTTGGTTTCTTATTTCATAATTTATTTGAAATATATGTGAGGAATTTATTTTCTTTGCATTAGTGACTGTATTTTAAGAGTTTTATGGACATGTAGATATTTTTATTGATGGATATATGCTTTGTTTTTTTTTCGACTTTATTACTGTTCTATATTGACATTCACTTTATGTAATATATTACCATTGAAAATAAAAAGAAAAACAATATTAAACACAAAAAGTGATATTGTTTAAATATTGATAACCATCATAAATCACAAATATTTGTTCTTGTTGAAATACGAAAAGTTACATCAATTAATAATAAGTTAAAAAGGCAATGTCCATAGCTCAAATGAAGTATATGAACTTAGTCATTCGCTTGAAGAAACAACATTCTAGTATCTCTTGTTGATGTTGTCTGGATGGCATAATATTGTGACTTTCGTTGCTTTTAAAGTGGTTGGATAACAGTTTAGTTTTTAACACGAACTCCATGCACAATATTTTAATGCCAATCCAACACTGATCGCCAAGCTTATGGTCTTGCTTCCAACTATTTTTTTTTTTATATATGTAAGTTTTACAAATATCTTTCACCCATGTAAAGCATTGTTAGACCGTATAGATAAATGGCATCTATGTATAAACTATTTTCTGATGTTTGTAGATGATGAAGGCCGAAATTGGGGTTATTTTTTCCAAAATATTTTTGAATGGCTTTAAAATAATGACCTCGTATGTTTGCAGCTGATAAATATTTTGACATGAGATCGTTATACCTTGTCAAAGAAGCAACTGAATGGATTGTTAATTGTTTGATTGTCATATATTCTTTTAAACAGTGTTGTCTTTAGCTGCTTTGGCCATAAGTGACAATGACAACATGATATGATGTAGGCCTGGGCATTTTACCCGGACCCGAAGACCCGAACCGGAACCGACTCGAAAATACCCGACCCGAACCCGACCCAAAAATTTACAAGTACCTACTGGGTCTAAATTTCTTTTACCCGAATAGACCCGGACCCGAAAAGAACCAACCCGAATAAAACCTGAAAACATCCGAGAACCCGGAAACTATAATAATACTTGCAGAAAACATCCGAGAACCCGGAAACTATATAATACTTGCAGAACACAGTAAAAATTACTGAAAATATAATAAATGTGAATTAAACGTTATTTGAATAAACTGCAACCACAAAACATCCGAGAACCCGGAAACTATATAATACTTGCAGAACACAAAACGTATAAAAAGCTAAGCCCTGGAGCAAGCTTCACAAAATCGAGAGTATAACATACCTCACATCTCTTTTCAAAGAGCAAACTTCCAAAATCAAGTTTTTGTTTTCTGATTTTAGCTCGATTTACGTTCATTTGCATCTCTGGAGTTGCAATTTTTCTACTCACAGCAGAGGAAAAAAGACACTCTTTACTATCACGTACATCAATAAAATAAGAAAAGACAATTATAAACTTTCACATACATTGTGCACAAAAAAAAAAAAAAATTTCACATACATTTGATTTAGAGTGGAGATAGAACCAAGCATTGAAGTCATCCAGCTCAGCCTGAGTTTGTTCTGAAAATTTTTCATTACACGAAACCGACCCACAGGTTTAGTCTCATAAATGAGTGAACTTTTATCTTATCAGTAAGCACAAGAAAGTCGCCAGCCCAGTCTTAATTTGCAGAGAGAAAGAGGTATCTTTCCTGCAATCTGAATCAACAGGCTGCGATCAGCATTCTTAACCAATCTTATCATCTCCATCACTTACCTTTAATGAAATAATCAAAGAGAATAGAGTTTGTTAAACCATAAATAGCCGAGAATAACGCTTGAAATCCCTAGATTTTGAAAGCAGAGTCAGTAAAGCAGAAGAGTTGCAGTTTTCTTACCTCTGAGAGTTTCTCCTAGTAGTTATGAATGTCAAAGATCCATCATTTGCTGTTGCTTAGTGATTCTTTCTATAAAAGAGAGACCGGAGGAGAAATCATATGGAAGTTTCAGTAATGAAGAGCTTTGATGATTCAGAGAGGTAGATAATTACGTTATGCCAGAGATTCAGGAGGGCGGAAGTGTGGGTTTGTTTCAGAGGATAGGGATCGACACGTCGGCTACGGAGACGTAATTAGTTTTTATTGGGAAGTATAATAGAGACCATTAAAGTGGCCCTCTTCTCCTCTCGTTGTAAATCAAAGTGGCCTTATGCTTTTCCAATCTGTTTCTAGAGGCCCATCCGCTTGAATATTTACTGTCCAGCCTACCAAAAGCAAAGACAATTTCTGCTAAGTGTTGTTGGTGCTTACGTGGAATAAAATGCCCCTATCTCCTTGCCTATGTGGCAGCATGAGAAGGGAGAAAAGTCAAGTTTATTACTCCCTCTGTTTCAATATAAGTGTCACTCTACAGCTATGCACACGGATTAAGAAAACAATTAATTTTACATATTTTCTATATAAAAACACAATTACCCACACACCTAACCATGTTTTAACCAATAGAAAAACAAATTACATAATAAAATTAATAAATTTTGCATTGAAAACCGAAAACGACACTTATTTTGTAACACAAAAAATTCTCTACAACGACACTTAATATAAAACGGAGGGAGTATATAAGATAGAGGGAATATATCAATGGTAGATAATAAAATGAAAACTTTGAAAGTGATTAATTAAAGTAATTAATGATTAGCAAAACTGTATTAACTCTTCTTAAATGTGCTCTTACCCATTTATTACATGCTGTGGGTATATATGGCCCTCTATTCCCCACTTAGAAGCACGCAACTGATAGCAATGCTTCCAAATCTTACCTCAAACTCGACGAGCTAAAAGAGGTGAAGTTCTTTTTCTATCTTTATATAAATCTTGCACTGTTTTAATATTTTTATATAAACTTACTGCTGATTTGAAAGAATTTATGTTCGAATCTGTATGCGAAAGGAAAGGTTACGGTTCAAGTGTCATTGTTATCGGGAATAGCAATTGTTATTCCCTTTCCTAAAAATTCTTTGCATACAAAAAAATTGTTCAAACAAAACAATAACGTCATTTCATCATACGTGTTTTGGATTATTATATGTTTGGTAATTTAAGTGATAACAAAGATGTTTGGATCTATCGTTTGGGAATCATAGTATAGAGTTGTTTAATTTGTTTTTACTCAATTGCTTGAATATATATGGGAGCAGAGAACGAAATATAGTTAAAATTTTGGAGTATCCTTTTTGGTTTTACTTTCCACATACATGAAAAATACATACAATCATTCTTCCTTTTGTCCTTTTTACCTTTGGAATATCTCTTTTTAAGCTTCCATGACACATAGATAGACATACATTTATCTAAGTAATATGACATGATAGGAACTTTTTAAAACAAAATAAAGAGAACGCATATGAGATGATTATGACGATTGTGACAAATAGTCTTATTTTGTTAAAAATATAAGAAAATATTAGATGCTTTGTGGATTAACCATGGGAAAGTCCAGAGATCTGTCTATATTATATTTATTTACTTAGATAAAATATACGAATGTTATCAAATTAAAAGATAACATATTCTCGTATTTTTGGAAGGTATAATCAGACCGTCATAGAATTAGTATTATTAAATGTTAGTTATATACAAAATACAAATATAGGCATTAGCTCTTATAGCCGCAAATTAAGAAATAGAAAATTTAAAAGAGTGGATAAAAAAATTGAGCCAGACCAAATTGAACCGATCCAAATCAAACTAAAATATATGTCCAAATTATTTGGTTAAATGATTTATCAACCTAAACTAATTGAACCGAACTAAAAACTAAAAAGTTTATTTACTGAGAATAACTAAATATATTAATAATATTAATATTAAGATATCAAACTATGTAATGTAAATAATGAAACATAGTTTTATACATTTTCTTCTAGTTGAATAGATAAACACAATTAGTAATAAAGAATAATATGAATTTTATACACTATAATCAGAATCGAAAATTACATATGATATTCAGATTAGTTTCGAAGATCATAATATAAAAGTACTGGTTACATTTTTAATATCTTATTGTGATGTTTAGTTTTCATTTAAATATGAAAAAATATTAATTCAAATGATGATTTATTTTATATTTTAGAAATTATATTTTCGTAACCGAGTTAAAAAAAAATTGAATTAAACAAACACAAACAAAACCAAACCAAACTCAAATCAAACTAAACACAAACCAAATTAAATTAATTTGGATTTACTTTAATTACAGTTTTATAAGACTCAAACAAACTAAACCAAACAAAACACAAATTTAAACCAAGATGCCAATCCCAGCTTCGTATATACATGCTCGATATCAATTTAAACAGCTAGTTCATTATTTTTTAACTCAAAATTTTTACACCGTTTTTTGTTTGATAAGTGATTTTCTAGACCGTTGAATCTACTCCAACTTTAAAATCACCTGCGCACAAAATTTCAACCTTTTCATTTGCTTCCCCTCTTACACATTTAATTAGTGTCATGGTTACACTATGGTAATATGCTTTATATAAAACTTTTAGATCCGATTTCACTTTAAATTTATTATTCACATATGTTAGCGAGAGAGAGGAGCTGTTGAGGCTTGTCTCACGCACCATCCACTGTCGTTTTGTGGCAAATGGATTGGGTCCACCGACCTCTGTAGTTCTTATACTTTCTTTCTTTTTTTTCTCTCCAAAATTCCATTTACATATTCAGCAGAAAATAATCAATTGCTCTTGTATAGGTGTTAGTGTCTATAGTCGACACCCAAATTGTTTATAATAGTTAGGTTCAATACCGCAACAAACAAAACAAACTTTTTCTTAAATGCATAATATGTATGTAGTTTTAGTATCCTATGTGTCATATAGGATTAGTATATAGAAATTAAAACTACACCAAATAAACAAAACTAGATTGATTTAATCTGATTATATAGATTACCTTTTTAATAAAAAAAAACTTAATATGAACTCTTAACAATCTAGGCTATTGGGTTGGGTGAGAACGTTTTTTCACTAGCCTAGCACTCGTTTTCACTTGTCACTTTCATCTCTCTTCTATTACCTGACATAAAATTTTATGATATTTTTTTGAAATTTCGCTAAGAAAATTTAATAATGGTTATTTTAAAATCTGGAATATCCCATTTTAGGGCTTTATTGAGATAAGATATCAGTGGAAGTCAAAAAAGAATTTAATTAAGAGTTTCTTCTCTCTAGTTTCATTCATTTTTCTTCTTGTCTCCTCTCTCTCTCTCACCATCACACAGAACACATAAGAATCCATGGCTGCTTCTTCATCCTCTGCTGCTTCCTTCTTTGGAGTTCGACAAGATGAACAGTCTCACCTGCTACCTCCTAACTCCTCCGCAGCCGCTCCTCCTCCTACTCACCACCAGCCACCGCAGCCTCCTCAGCAACCCCTTGAAGCTCCACCGCAGAAAAAGAAGAGAAACCAACCAAGAACTCCAAGTAAGCTAATTACCACCCCTTAATTGAAATCTTTGCATCTTAATCTTATAAAATCATGTGATCAAATTTTAGATCATTAAGTGGTGAAAAAGATAAATCCCTTTTTACATCTCTCTCCCTTTTCTCCCTTTTCTCAGTTTCCAAATCTTGACATAAGCAAATTAGCAAAAACCAGTTATTGATTTTCCAAGATTTAGATTTTAATTAATTATATACCATGCAATATAAAAAATCCTTTAATTAATTAATAATTTATTTACCCTCATTGTTTTGTTCTTCTCTATTAGATTCAGATGCAGAAGTGATAGCTTTATCTCCAAAGACACTTATGGCTACAAACAGATTCATATGTGAAGTATGCAACAAAGGGTTTCAAAGAGAACAGAATCTACAACTTCACCGAAGAGGACACAACCTTCCATGGAAACTTAAGCAAAAATCGACCAAAGAAGTGAAGAGGAAAGTGTATCTTTGTCCGGAGCCCTCGTGCGTCCACCATGACCCGTCACGTGCTCTCGGAGACCTCACCGGAATCAAGAAACATTATTACCGTAAACACGGTGAAAAGAAATGGAAGTGCGAGAAATGTTCTAAGCGTTACGCTGTTCAATCTGATTGGAAAGCTCACTCCAAGACTTGTGGTACCAAAGAATATCGTTGCGATTGTGGTACACTCTTCTCCAGGTAAATATTCGACATCTTTTGAGCTCTTTAAATTATAATTAATCATATATAACCTAAGTGATATGGGTGTGAATGTGTGTCTGGGTCATTCTTCATAGACTAGGGTTTTTTTCTAAGGTTCGCTTTTTGTTTCGCCTCGAAGTCTTCGATGCTCTCATCGCTTTCTTTCGTGCAGTAATTTCTTTCTTTTTTTCCTTTTTAATTAAAATTTTAAAAATAAAATTGATACATGAACACACGTGAATGTGTGTGCAGACACCTATATATGTATATGACTGAAACTGCCATATTTCATAAGATGCTTTCGAGCAGAAACTCAAAACCAAAGAGGACCAATTTAATTTCTTTTTAATTTATTATTTTTCTATATGTTTTACCTAGGAAACACCGCCAGATTTTCTGTCATAAAATTATATTCATATATTTTTAGATTTTTTTCCTTAGATTTAAAAAGATTCTTATATATGGGCAATTCACGTGCTGCTAAACTATATAATATCTCTAGAGAGTTGTTCTTACAGTGTTTGTTCTCTTATGTGCAAAATTTTTCTAGCATATTACTCGTTTTTATGATTCGTTTCTACACAGCACCATATATAACCACACACCGCATAATTATTTTGATTACTTACTATGTACATTTTGCACAAAATGTCTTTAAACGGCATAGAAATGACAACTAATATTTCAGATTTTACCAAAGACTATTATTTTAAAAGCAATTTCGAATTTGGAGTATTTTTGAGTCTTGGTTGGCATTGCTATGTTTGTGCGTGTGCGTCAATAAAGAGGAGTTCTATAAATAGAACGCAGGAATTAAAAAATATGGTTGTATGTAATTATATACGTAAGTAGTATTTTAAAAACATTTATGTATAGCATAAGTCCTTTATTGGATAAATGCTGAAGTTGCATTTATTGGATTTACAGAATCTTGAATTAAGACACGTTCAGATGTTCATTTGACAATCATTCTCTCCATATACTACTACTATTGTGAAACCTAACTTTTTCCACTTATCTTTTTGATTATTTTGAGTACCCATATTTATACACATTAATACACACATACACATTTAATTACTAGTTTGCAGTGATGAGCATATCTTTCGTATAATATCTGGTCGGAACTGAATAATATTTATGTTCATTACTTACTGCATACATACTGATAAAAATAGATGTATACATTTGTTCGTACGCATAATCATATAGACACATACATCATCATAATTGAAGTGTGACACAACATTGTACTCCTATTTATGTAATATGCGTGCATTATTAGTAATATGCATCAATGCATGTGAGTGTGTATTGTGTTAAGCTGTTTAAAATTACATAGCTGAAATAATAATATGATGTGTCATAGAGTAGGAGAGTGACTTTCTAGCCATCTATCTATTTTTTCAAGATCCAATAATTACACGCGAATCTATTTGAAGCTACGTGACATAAAGAGTCTCTCTCTCTATATTTATAAATATTTTTCTTTCACTTTTCCAAAATCTCATCTTCTTCTTTTTGAACTGCTGATTTTTTTTTTTTTTGAAATGTAAAATGTCTACTTATTTCATCATTTAATTTATAGATATACCTGACTATCCAATAGATTCCGTGGTTACAATACTCTTCCTTTTTGTTATCGGTGTGTCGCAGGCGAGACAGTTTCATTACGCATAGAGCCTTCTGTGACGCGTTGGCACAAGAGAGTGCGAGACACCCAACTTCTTTGACTTCTTTGCCAAGTCACCACTTTCCATACGGACAAAACACCAACAACTCCAACAACAACACTTCTAGCATGATCCTTGGTATGCCCCAAATGGGGGCCCCACAGAATCTTGATCATCAGTCCGGTGACGTTCTTCGACTTGGAAGCGGTGGAGGACGTGGAGGGGCCGCCTCACGCTCTTCCTCTGATCTCATCGCTGCAAATGCTTCAGGTTACTTCATGCAAGACCAAAACCCTAGCTTTCATGACCAACAAGACCATCATCAACAACAACAACAAGGGTTTTTGGCTGCAAGCAATAACATCAAGCCATCTCCAATGAATTTTCAACAGAGTCTGATGCAGTTCTCACATGATAACCATAATTCTCCTTCCTCCAATCTCTTCTTCCTATCTGGAAACAATGGAGTTGCTTCTGCTACAAGCAACCATAATGCTGCTGCTGTTTCTTCGGGTAATCATATGATTTCAAACCATTTTAGTGGCGAAAATGCTGTTGGAGGAGGAGGAGGAAGTACAGGTCTCTTCCCTAACAATCTGATGAGTTCATCAGGCAGAATCAACTCAGGAGCGGTGCCTTCACTCTTTAGCTCGTCAATGCAAAACCCTAATTCAGCACCTCACATGTCAGCCACTGCTCTTCTTCAGAAAGCTGCTCAAATGGGTTCATCAACCTCAAGCAGCAACAACAACAACAATAATAACAACGCCTCGTCGATTCTAAGAAGCTTTGGTAGCGGAATGTACGGAGAGAACGAGAGTAATCTTCACGATTTGATGAACTCTTTCTCAAACCCGGGCGCAACGGGAAGCAACGTTAATGGTGTAGATTCTCAGTTTGGTGCGTACGGAGGAGTGAACAAAGGACTAAACGCTGATAAACAGAGCATGACTAGAGACTTTCTTGGAGTTGGACAGATTGTTAGAAGCATGAGTGGAAGCGCAGGGTTTCAACAACAACAACAACATCAGCAACATGGGAATGGTAGTAGAGAAAGAGTTGGCTCTTCATCGGATTCGGCCGATAGAAATAGCATGAATGTGAATCCTGGTGGTGGTTCTACTAGTTCACCACCGTATGGAGTCCATCATGCTAGTTTCTAGCTAAAAGAAAAAAAAATTAAAAGGTTTTGAATTCATCAGAGGACGTACATGCTATATATCTTTCAGGCATGCATCAATGCATGTCGTCATCAAAATCCCATGACTCTCAGTATTTAAGCTTATCAGAAAGTAGTAATAAATAGTTGCATTTTATCTAAACTCAGCCCTCTTTTTTTATTGTAAAATTTTTCGCCTTTATAGTTTATATAAATGGATTCCTCCTGAAAAATATTCAGAGTTATAGTTTATTGTTACATAATGAAGAATTTTTTGTATTATTACATTTTGCATAATTTTTGCAATTCTAAACTTTCTTTTGGATTGTGAAAGATTAGATATATTATCCATAATGGCGTATGTAGTTCAGATAAATGATACTTTATTATGTGTGGAGTCAATTCTAAGTCTATGTTCTGTATACGACGGTCAAATAATTTGAACGTGAATACTGCTATTAGTATTATTTTATCTCGTGAAACGATTTTTATATTTGGCTGACACATTTATCGTCTTATCATTGCATGGGGCAGTCAATGAGTTAGAGAGTACAAGCAGCCTTTGCTAAGTTTCTTTGTCTTTTTGTTTTTATTTTCTTTTATTTGCCTTTTTATTCTTCAATTCTTTTCATTTGTCACCCTCACTAGCTGGCAATGTCACGAGTGTTTGTTCTGTGATCCCCTTTCTAAATATCTCGATACATGTATACATACATGTCATATGTGCATAAATATGTGCATTTGTATGTAAATTTCTACCATATCCTAAAGGGTTGTCCGGTTGTCCCCATAATATTTAAATTTGCGGTCCAAAATAAACAATTCTGTTTGAACACTCACGTGTCTGCATTATTGATGCTATTATTTATTTTCTGTTAAAAAGTAGCATCAATATAAAATAATTCTAGTGCAAATCTATTTGGTACGACTTCGATTTTAGTTTGAAAACATGTTCTCACTAAATATATAATTGATCTTTCAAAAACTTATGGTTCGATTTGTTTTTTTCTGTTTCCGTTGGATCGAGATTTGTTTTGAATTTTCAAATATGTTAGAACTTATGCCTCATCTCAAAAAAATATCCTGAAAATTAAAATCTATACTATTTAAATAGAACTAAAAAACTACTTATAAAAAGCCAAAGATGAACCATTATATTTATTTAACTTCTAGTACTCCCCTACGACTAAATTAGTAATTATTAAATATACATCCTAACCTAACACATTATTGAACTTTTTCAAAGTTAGATATCTAAAAAAATATTCTTAAGTCAAAGAATAAAAAATATTATTATAAATTGATTTTAATTCAATTTTTATTATAGACTAAGAAATAAAACTTCTACATACTATTTATATATACATAATTCATATATTTTATATATAAAAATGCAAGTCGTTTAACAAATCAGAATCTTACATATGGCATATATTTTTTTTTAATATAATGTAATAATAATTTTAATTTTTATTTTGGCAAAAGAAATCCAAATTCCTAAATTTTCTCCCTTTTTCAGATCCAAATTTTTGTTCTTCTCAATTTAATACTTTCAAATTTGTTTGCATTATTCAGATGATAGTTAAAAAAGGTCAAAGATACTACTTATGGATACGCATGTTTCAAGCTTAATTAGTTCTTCAACAAAGAAAGTTATGAGCTTCATCGACTAAGATAACAATATTTGGATATTTATAAATTGTGTGTTTACAAATCTGTTTGTTATGGTTAAATTATTTTAAAAACATGTTCTCTTATAGCAAAATAGAAATCTGTTTATGAGTCAGTTTGTCAACTTATTGGTCTATCATATCTAAATTGATTATTGCAGAGAAAAAAGGTGGACAAAATCCTAGATATCTTATTTTGTTTTTTACTAGCCATTTATCTTTCTACTGGACTTCATATATAAAGATCTTTGAATCAATATTTGAAATAAATTTTTATTTTTTTCATAATTTATTTTAGTTGCATAACTTCGTTTTTATTCTATTAAAAATGAAAAGATTTATTTTTACATACCAAAATACAGAAAATCTGAATTGACCAAATTTAGTATTTTCTAACTATATTTTATCTGTTGTACAAAATAGTATATTTTATGTGTTGATATTTATATCTAAACTCTATGGATCAAATATGTATCTCTTTTATCTAAAAACTAGAAGTGTTGCATTTAAGCACCAACGCAAAAATTTCCTTCAAACTCCTTTGTTTTGAATTTTTAATGCAAGAATCGTAATTTTATGTGTTCGTTTTATCCAACTTTAGAAAATATGACTAAATCAATGTTTAGTTTTGATAAAAAAAAAAATACTACAAATGCAATCAAAAACTGGTATGTGTTAATAACACTAGTACATAATAAAATTCATAAATACAAAATAAATTAATCCATTTATTAACTATTTTATAAAATATAAAATTAATATAATTACATATACAGAATAACATATATTCATGAATTGTATAATATAATTTAACTTATTAAAAATATTAAAGTAAGACATTTGAAAATAATATATCGTTATTTAAATATACATATTTAAATTGAAATATTAAAAGATAACTTAATATATTTTAATTTGATAAAATAACAATAATAAAATTTGTTAACATTAATATTATATGATATGTGGTACATCAAACTATAGGTCATGTTTTATAATTAAAATTTCTGAAAACTATTTCATAAATATGTAAATACCCATATTTGTTAAGTATGATACATGTTGAATGATAGTTAATTCATATTATCGTAAAATAAAATTTGAATGATAGTTAACACATCTTCGATTTAAATGATACTACTTTTTTATCATTTATAACTAATGCTAGTACAGTTTAATAAGTGCGTCAACTATTTAACTGATGTAAACTTGTATTTTGTATCATATTTTTGAAATGATGTAAATTAATATTGTTTTGAGTCAATTTCATTGAAATGATGTAAAAAACTTAATAAAAACCTTATTTAATCATAATTTATTCTGAAATATATAATTTATCAATAAATTGTTTAAATTTATTATCATTTATTTTGCTGATACTAGTTAAGTGATGTAATACTATCAATCTTTTGTAGTGTTAAAATATAAGTAAAATTAATACGATACAAGTCAAGAAACGAATTATCTCATTTTCATAAAATTATATTATATAAATTTTAAATTAATTATCTATGTTGTTAAAACAAATGTTATTATAAAACATACATATGTATAAAATTTCTAATTTACAGTAAATAAATTTTAGAATAAAATCTAACCACACGCTTTGTAAACATGAATCAAATCTGGTTATGTTAATTAAATTTGAAATCGCTCAATACTTTGATCGATTTCTTTCAATGCATAGACAATCTATTTTCTAACCTTTAACCTGTATAAAGACGTCACTGCCGTGGACAGTAATAATATCTTCTTTAAGAGATTCAAATCAAATTTCTATTGGCCAATTTGTGTCTATTATATTAGATTTCTCGATATAGTATTCTTCTTTTTAAGTGAAGAGAAATCATTAGAGTGGAATTTTTATATTTTTAATAATCTAAGGATATCTAGTGGGTCGAACGCGAAATTTTTAACATCTTTCAAAATTCACCATATCACTCGACCACGCTTATGTGGTTGAGTGAAGTATTTTAATGAAGTTTTAGCCATTTTTAGAATTTGTTTGTTAAAATGAATTACAAATTACTTGCATCATGTGTGAATATAAAATACATTATTGTTTTCTTGACCCAAAAAGAAAAGATACATTATTGTTGACGATATCTAGAGTTATTGGAATAATTAGTGATATTACTAATGGTATTATAATGTCATTGTCGTAATAATTTAAATGGAGAATAACAATAATTATAATATATAATGTAGGACATATATACATCATACATGCAAGTTCCAGGCCCATCGACGTGCAACGAGAGGGAGATATGGTACCGTTGTCTCACCGATAACAGACAGCTCTTTTCTCATATTTTATTCTGTTTCCTTCTTAATATATTTTGTCAAAAAAACAATAATCAAAAGTATTCATTCGTAGTATATAACGGTTAATCAATCCGTGTGTAGAAAACACTGTCCTATTTTCTAAATACATGTTAATTTCATCGTATCCAAAGTTGAATACTCTTGAAGATAAATGTACATTGACAATAAAATATTTAGTTATTAGCAACCTAAATAATGCCATATTACAATTTTTTTTTCCCGTGAAGGTAGCATCTAAGTGCTGATTAGACTATAAAATAAAAATAAAAAATAAAAAAACTATATCAACCTAAGTGCTGAAAATCCACATTTATAAAAAAAATTATAAGATAATTCAATTATAAACTGAATTATTTTTCATTTTCTTAATCTGCATGAAATATGTAAGTGTCACTTATAATGAAACGGAGGAAGTTATGTACTAGTACAAGAATTTCATCACGATCCATCTTCATGACACATACATGCACTATCTCTTGTAATATTTCACGTATTGATACCTCATCAATTATCACCAGACGACTCAATGAACTTCAATAGCTAAACATCCTTATCAAGACCACTGATAAAAACTTTCATACAAACCTTGAAATGTGGTCTTATTGCGTAGACATTCTTTATTGATACGATTTGATTCAAAACTTTGTCTTTCTTGCTGGATCAGTTTATATCCTCAATATTTAGGATCTCACTAATGACGTAGGTGACTCATTATAATGTTAATTATAGGTGTGGAGACTGAAAATAAAGAATAAAAATAAAAGGCACATGTTTTTCTTTTCGAATTCATTAGGATAAAAAGCAATAAAACTATTTTGCTAATGTATACAACAAACACAACCCTCTTAAAATACCACTGATGTTACAAGAATTAACTAGGATAACTCAATTCTAAATTAAAACTTACCTAGAATCTATATTTTATTAATCAGGATCACCTAATTTCTAGAACTATATCAACAACTACGTCAGCACCTAATGAAGAAAAATAAGATCAAAATTTTGATCATACAAACACCAGACAAAGATCTCTCAGTTTTTTTTTTTTTTTTTGCAGAGACACTTTTCTAAGTTTTCTTCATGAGACACAAATTTTTTCTAAGCATATCTCATTTTTTTATTAAGGTATATCTTCCTTTCTGTTTTCATTTTTAAGTAAATATCCTTTTCACTTAAGTAAAATTCCACTGTCTTCATAATAAATATCCTCTCTTTTCCAAGGTAACATAATATATGTACTTCATAGTACATGAATTATATCACATCACATTTTTCATAACATACGTATATACAATATTTTGTAATACTTCACGAACTGATACATAACAATTTAGAAATATACATTTTCAATCTA